GGGAGGAGGAAGAGGAGGACGGGGAGGAGGAGGGGGAGGATTGAGGGTGAGGATTTGTTTTTTGTTACTGGTTAGCGTCGTCAGCCAAAATGGCTTCCAAGCGGCGCACTACGACGACTCTGGCACCGAAGCGGCCAGAAAGTGCAATGGCCTGATCGGCTTTGGCGGGCCCCCCATGCGGTTTCATGGTTTCGGCGCGTCTAAGCTGCGCCAAGAAACGGCCTCGTTAGGTGGCTCGTTTGCTGTATCGAGCAGTAAATTGCAATGTTGTAAACGAGTTGCTGGTACGGCAACGCAGCGATGCGGCTTAGACGGCAATGTCTGAGCCACAGGCTATAGCACGTGGTGTAGTCGCGGTTGGCTTGGAGGGGGGTCTGTGCACACCCCCTCGCCTGCTCTGTGGTGTTCCCCAAGTTTCACCTACAGCGCTTCTTTCAAACGATGCCCCTGTTGCGTGGAGACAGACTGTGACCCAGTTTCTTTCCGACCACGGGCATGTGAGGTCCCTGCTGGAACCCTGCTGGTGGATGAAGCACTCCAAAGGGAACGGCCTTGAGAGCATGATACTACTCGGAGTCGATGACTTCTTCATCGCCTCGTCGCCTCCGGAGGTCAGGCAGCAGGTGCGAGTGATGTTAGAATCGAGGTTCCGCTTCGGGAAGTACCGGGACCTGCGCGCGTCGCCGGTGGGCTACGCCGGCCGTAGGATCACGCAGACCCCCCAGCGCAGCACGGTCCAGGAGAAATACATCCTAGAGGAACTCAGGCCCCTCAGCATGGCTCACGGGAGGCTCCGTAGACAGGGCACCCAGTCAGATCCGACGGAGTTCAAGGCCCTGAGGCCCCTCATATACAAGCTGAACTGGGTAGGTCGGGAAACGCGTCCCGAGGCCTCGGGAGTGGCGAGCATCCTTGCCTCAAGATTGAGGATGGCGACTTCTTGGGGCGTCTCGTGTGCCAACAAGTTAGTGCGCCATCTGAGGAGCACGGCCTCGAGTGCCCTGACAGCGCGGCGCCTCGACCCTAGCAGTATGGTTTTCATTGCTTTTTCGAATGCGGGAGGCGTGGGGGCCAGCGCCAGCGGGGTCGACTCAAAGGGGCGCTCAGAGAATAACCCAAGGGGCCTGGATGGTGCTGGCTACCGATCAGAGCGCGCTGCAAAATCGCTCGGTGAGAGCGTCGATCCTCGGGTGGAGATCGTCGAAGCTCAAAAGCAAGGTTTCTTCCACCCTTTCAGGGGAGACGCTGGCCCTCGCATCAGCAGCGTCAGAACTCGAGTACCTGCAGGTGTTCTAAGGAGACGCTGTGTTTCAGGATGTAGATATGCCAGAGTGTTCGAGAGCCGCAGGTCCATTCACCACTGTTCTTCGACAGAACTGCAGACTCGGACACCGAGAACGACAGATTCGCGTCGTTGCTGCCAAGAGTATTTATGATACGATGGCGAAGGATGGGACGGCGAGTGCGAAGGATGGGAGGACGGCCCTGGATTTGGCGATCATCTGCGAGCCGAGCGATCGAAGGGGGTCGTGAGATGGGTGCCACACTCTAGGATGCCGGTCGACCCCCTCACAGAGGACGACGTTACCAAAGTGAACGCCGCCTTGTTTGACTTGATGGCGTCCGGCCGAGTACTGTTAGTGAACGAGGAACGACAACTGGTCGGCAGGCGCGAGAATCCTTCCCAGAACGCAAGATCGCAGGCCGCATCCCTCAGGACGTTCGCCAAGGATCGGGCGTCCATCAGCTGGACATCATTCGTGTCCGAGTCCGGTGCTGCGTCCGACGGTTCCGGCCAGTTCCAGTGATCTTCTTTTTTTTTTTTCTCCTAAGAATTGCGTGCGCGCTGGCGTACAGTCCGGGAACACACGGGCTGGTGACAATCACCAAGCCCGTGTGTTGATGCGTGTTTTCCGACACGCCTGGGTCAGCTAAACTTACAGTGCCGTTTTTTTTATACATGTTCCGCGTGCGGATCATGTATTAAACATGCAGGGAATTAGTATCAACAACAACGATGAGTTCAGACATAAATTTATTCATACATTAATCATGTAATAGAAATCTCATATTTTTAAGTAAAAATCAATGTATAAAAAAAAAACTGCCCGGCACAAGGCAAGTTGACCAGTGTGAATGTTTGGCACAAGTTCGTGACTTGGTTTAGCGTTTGGTTTCCTTGGTCCGGGCCCAGGGGACTGTGTCCTATCTGGTACCCGTATGACATACTGGCTCAAGTCCAAAGCCAGTTGCTGCTGCTTTTGCTGCCACACGCCCACCTGGCTGCCAGCATGCCCCCAGGAGAGGTCCAGAAGAGGCCCACGCAGACCCGCCGGCAGCCCCCCGAGAGGTTTCGAGACTGGTTCCCCAGAGGCGCCCGAGAAGCGTGCCAACATCCTGGGCACGGTGGCGGCGTTATGAGCCGAAGTCCAGCCTGATAAGCAAATATCAGGAGGGGAAGAAACACACACACACACACAAACAGACACAATGCATCGCCGATTCCCCAGGACATATGGCAAATATGGAAAGTGTGTGGGGGGGGGGGGCAAAATCGAGGAAATATGTGAAAATATTGGGAATCCTGGGAATTGTGCGTCCCTGGGTCCCCTCAAGAGAAACAGCCTGGCGAAGGGCGCAGGCCTCTTGCAGCCACATGCAGCGCAGCGCGCGGTCCTCTGCGGTCCTATGCTGCGCGCCGCGGGGCAGGGGGGCTAGGGGGCTGCTGCCGAGCACGCGTGCGCAGGGGCGCCGAACTCCAAACCACAACACACATCAACAAGGCAAATAACTAAGCAGAAGCAGCCTATTTCTTGGAGGTAAGTTGGTAGTGGCTTGCTTGTTTGAATTGCGCATTTGTGCGGATACAAAGCAATCCCTTTACAGTACCCATCACCGTCACCTCCAAAACAGTTCACTGAGCACGGTCTGCGTGAAGGGAGTTCCGAATAAGTTGGATACACCCGCGGCAACACGGCCACTGACGCCGCAGTTGGAGCTCCCTGCGGGGCACGACCTGTGTGAGGCATATGCCGAGATGGGCGGGGGGGCGCCATGCACACATGGGTGTCGCAGGTTGGTCTCCTTCCGTGGCCCGATTCGCGTGAGGAGCGTGCCGAAATGGGCGAGGCATGTTGTGCGAAGCTTGTCTCTGGAGCTGTCGGTGGTGCTCCCTGTGGGGCACAATGCGCATGAAAGGTGCGCCGCAATGGGCGGGTTGGGCGACCTTGGTGGCAATTGGGGGGCTCAGGGTTTGTTCCAACTATCATGTGTTGGGTCTTCGTTTTGTAGAGACAGTCCCCGCGGCTTGATGGGCTTGAGTGCTGCTGCTGCTCCTTCTCCCGCTCCTCCCTACTCGCATCCCTGCTCCAGTCCTCCGCACCAGTCAGCCATTTCGGCACACCCCTCACACGTTTCGTGGCCCCATGGGGAGCTCCATCTAAGGGCCCTGCGGCATGGCTCGCGCGCCGCCCCCATCCGTTTTGGCCCACCCCTCACACTCTTCGTGGCCACCGGAGAAGGCTCCAGTGGCATGGTTCGCACGCCGCCCTTCAATTTGGCACACCCCTCACACGTGTCGCGGCCCTGGGGGGCTCCACGTAAGGCCCCAGGGGACTGGTTCGCATGCCGGCACCCCTCCAGTTTGGCACAGCCCTCACACGACCCGTGGCCCCAGAGTGAGCTCCACCGAAGGCCCCAGTGGCGCCACCCAGTAGAGTTTTCTGTGACCCCACTGGGGGAGCTCCACCGAAGGCGCAAACGGCGGTGTCCGCATGCGTTTCCCCCACCCAGTAAAGCTTTTCGTGGTCCCACAGGGGGCTCCACCAAAGGCCCCAGTGGCTGTGCCCGCATGCGTTCTTCCAGTTCAGCGCTTCGTGGCTCCATAGGGAGTTTCACCGAAGGCCCCAGTGGAGTTGCTCGCATGCGGTTCCCCCGCCCAGGGCAGCGTTTCGTGGCCTCATAGGAAGTTGCACCGAAGGCCCCAGCGGCTGCTTCCGCACGTGTTTCCTCGGTTGCCTGGATGAAGGTATGTTGATTGAGGTACTCACACATTCCATATGATTGGATGCATGGGCGAATGTATGGTTGTATTGGTGTAGGAAAGAACGTGTGTATAGATGTGCGCACGCTTGTGGGACAAAGCAGACACGCGCTAGAACCTAAGCGCGCACGAAGCGCGCGACGACCCCTCCAGCAAAAAGAGGCCCCAAGGCCTAGGTCGGGCCTGTCCCCCTACAGGGGGATTTGAAGCGAAAAGCTAAAATACGAATTCGAAAATAGTCAAACAATAGTCCCCAGACTGTGTTTCACTATTTTTGAAGATTCCCCCCTTCAGAGGAACACGCCCGACTTAACGCAAGGCTTCCAACACTTCCAAACCGCACACGCACCCCAGCTCTAAGCCCGAGGCCCCCCCGAAGCGAATCGCGGGGCAGCCAGGGCCTCCCCCGTGGCCGCTCAAAACAGCTCCAAGGGGCACGGATAAGTCCGGAGGCAAGAAAGGGGTATGGTGTAAAAGGGGTGTGTCGGTATCGTTTAACCAATCCCCATCCCCATCCCCATCCCCGTCGAGACCCCCACCAAATTACCACCCAAATTGGGAAGGCACCCCTCGAAGCCCGAAGGGAACGACCTATATCCCCATCTAGGGGCGTAATCGGCCAGTGGGGCCCAGGCCACCCCGCTGGGGATGGGGATCGGTTAAACGATACTCATCGATGGGTTTCGCATGCTTGCTTGTCCGCTCCCCTGGGCGCCCACGACGGGCTAAGAGGCCGCCCAAGCCCGTCCCATGACGGCCGAAAAGAATCCCAAGAGGGCCCACGAAGGGCCCACGATGGCCCAAGAGGGGCCCAAGGCGGTTCAAGATGGCCCCACGAAGGCCCCCAGAGTGGCTCAAGACGGCGCGAGAGTACCCCCAGACGGGCGCAAGACGTCCCAAGGGATCCTAGAGCACCCCAAGACGGCCCACGATGGGCCCAGCGACTTCCATTCATAAGCATTCAGGAACTCGTCGCCCGTGCCCTCCCTCCGTCCCTACCTTCCATGCCCTCCTTGCCAGCGTTTCTGATTATCCAGCGGCGGGGAGTTTCCAGCGGGTCACACGGTATGCCACCCGCGCACGGCCGTGCCCGTTGCTGGGCCGACTTGCAGGGGAGCTCCGCCTGCGGGCATTTTCGCCTCTGCTCACCAAGACGGTTCTGCTCTCGGTTCGATCAGAACGGGTCGAAGAGATTTGCAGGTGACGCCCGCTTGGTGTCAGGTCAGCGATTTCCTTTCACTGGAGCTCAGGAGCTGGTCATTCGTGTTCTCCCTCAACCCCACCTTCCATCCTCTCGTTGCCATTGCTTTTGGTTGTCCAGCGATTCGGAGTTTTCAGCGGGTCACTCGGTATGCCACTGGCGCACGGGCGTGTCAGGCTGCTAGGCCGATTTGCATGTGAGCTCCGCTTGCGAACATCATCGCCTTTCCCTACCTGGACGGTTCTGCTCTCGGTTCGCCCAAAATGGGCCGAAGAGAGTTGCAGGTGAATCTCCGCTCGTTGATGCTCAGGAGCCGGTCACTCGCGTCCTCTCTCCATCTTACCTCCCATAACCGCCTTGCCATTCTTTATAATTGTTCAGCAACGGTGAGTTTTCAGCGGGTCACTCAGTATGCCACTCGCGCACGGCCGTGTCGGGCTGCTAGGCCGATTTGCAGACGAGTTCCACCTGCGGACATCATCGCCTCTCTTTACCGAGACCGTTTTGCTCTCGGACGGCCAAACTGGGTCGAAGAGATTTGCAGGTGACGTCCGCGTGCAGTCATCGCAGCGACTCAGGGGCTGGTCGTTCGTGTTTCCCTCAATCCTACTTTCCAGACTCTCCTTGCCATTACTCTTGATTGTTCTTCGACGGGGAGTCTTCAGAGGCTCAATCGGTATGCCACTCACGCACGGGCGTGTCAGGCTGCGGGGCCGACTTGCAGGTGAGCTCCGCCTGCAGACGGCAACGCCTCTTCTGACCAACATAGTTCTGTTTTCGGGTCCGCCAACATGGGCCGAAGAGAGCGAGAGAGCGCTACAGATACGCGTGAGCCGCACAGACCAAGGATTACCGCGCCAAACAGAGCACCAAGACAGTGACAGGCATTCAACCAGCTCCGTCCAAAGGCCCTCGAGTCGGCCCCAAGACCGTGGTGGCGGAATTTGCCGCAAGCAGCAGCGAGGGAAGGAGGGCTTTGGAGGCACGAAGGAGGGACTGGACGGGAAAGAAAGAGAAGGAACGGGACTAGGAAGAAGTGGTGGAGAGAGAATGGAGGGGCTTGAATGTGGGAGAATGCAGGATAAGCGGCGATCAGGATTCATCGCGTTGCATACGTGGGGGCAAGCAGGAGGGACAATAGTGTTCGAACGCTGTGTTGTTCATGACGCGCGTCTGGTTCGCACTGCGTCTCTCCGAAAACCTGAGCGCGTGCGAAGCGCGCGCGTGGTTCTAGTTTGCAATCGTCGTCTGACCTATTCAACCTGTCCAGTTTGCCCTGGACTTTTAAAAACTTGCCGATTAGAATGTTGGCTTGCTCCATCAAGTAGGTCTTGACTCCTCTCTTCCTCGTTACTTGCTGTTGCGAGCGGCTTTGCACCCCACACGGCAAGTTATTCGTTTCACCACGACGTCCGAGCACGCATGTTGTCAAAGCGAGGCGCATACCATCCCTGAGCTTCGCGTGCGTGGTTGGCGAAGGGCCTTCATACAGCCAGCGTAGCCTCGGAGCCTGTTCCCGTAGCCTGGAGCACTCCCAGCCCCCTCCCTCCCAGCCGCCCTCAGCCTTCCGCCGCCGCGCTGCTTTCACGACGTGGGCCCCAGAGCCCTCTGCCCCGTTCCCCGGGGCCAGTCCCCTAGTCGTGGGGGTATAGTCAACACTGGTAGCAAGGATTATCGACTTTCCCAAGGGTGCCCCTGCAGCTTTGCCTCTTCGGTCACCTCAGGTCCATCCTCAATCACCTTCGATGGCCGGCCCCGCTCGAAGAGCTTCAGAAGGAGCGTCCAAGGGCCTGGCATCCTTTCCGCGCATCCTTAGCATCAGTTCTGACTGCATGCCTGGATCCCAGACCCTCGACTTCGTGATTCTTTCACAACGTCGACCCCCAGAGGTCTGTGGACCCCTTCCCCAGGACCGGTTCTTCATCCTGATCAGTCGTTCTATGGCGGTCCAGAGGCCCAGTAAGGGCCCCTGGAGGCCGGAAGTAGCGAAACATTCCCAGTCGTGATTCCTTCACAACGCGAGGGGGTCTGGGATTCTGGACCGTCTCAGGGGCCCAAGAGCAGCACGCCGGAGCCCAAAGCATTTGGACGAGGCGCCCGCCGGAGTTTGCCCCGCGGCGCCGGAAGGCCTGGCCTCTCGGGCCGGCACGCGCGCGCTACAGTGGGGGCCCATGCCAAGAGACACCCTGCTTGCCTCCGGGGTGTCTTGGGTTCCGATGGTTTTGCGATGGAAGGCGTTACGTTCCCACACCAAAATCGGGGGCGGCAAAGAGGGGGGTGATGACTAGGGGTGTGTGGATATCATGGCGGGTGCCATGATATCTCCCCAGATTTCATGGCGCCTCTTCTTGTTTCATTACGTCCCTGACCCCCCCACTGGGCCACGCACATGCCGCCGGTCATGATTTGCACCCCCCCTCTAGGACACCCCCCTCTTGGCCGCTCCCGACAAAAAGCAATGGACGTCCTGGGGTCTCAGGGTTGGGTCTCTTGTGGAAGGTTTCTTGTGGTCGGGCCCTCACGGTTCGGGCACAGCCAGGGCCCCAGGCAAGGGGACCCGGTGAGTAGTAGGACCCTGGAGCCCCTAAATTTGTCAAAATCGCCAAACCAGGTCTGCCGTAGCTGGTGTTTTCTCGGGTGACGGCGTTCCTGTTAATGGACCGGGGGGGGGGGGCCGTCCCCCAGCACACTTCACCAAACCAGGGCCCACTAAACACAGTCCTGCCAACGCCCGAACTGTACTCTGCTGCCGCGACGAGCTGCGGGCTCCGGCGCAGCCTGGCGCCTCGGCCCGCGCGCCTGGACGCCGGGGCTGCCCGCGGCGAGGGGCTCTGGCGGCCCTCGCAGCTTGCGAGGGGGGGCCCACCTCGTGTCGGTGCCAGGCGTCGGGGAAGAAGCATCGCCATAAACATAAACTTTGGCGCTCCGCGCGGATTTCTTGGATCCGCGCTGGGCCCCCCCCTGGCGGCGCCTCCGGCGCCGCCCCTGGCGCGTTCCGCGCGCCAGGGTGGGGGTCCAGGGCAGATCCAAGAGATCCGCGCGGAGCGCCGCCACCAGTTCATGTTTATGACGTTTTGTCTTCTGCACCTCGTGTCGGTGCCAGGCGGGCTCAGCGGTGCTGTTGCGGGTGCGACCCGGAACGGTGCACCTTGCGCCGCCACAGAAGCGAAATGCCGTGCCGCGATTCGTGTGGACCGGGCAGGCCTCGACATCCTTCAGCGCCCTGACCAGGCAGAAAAGGAGAGTGCGGGACAGCGATGGCGTGGATCGAGGAGGCACGGAAATCCCTTCACGACTCCTTTCATCGAGCGGGTTCCACTACTCGCAAAGTGCACACTTGCAAACGTCCGGAAAAATGAGGTCTTCCTACATGTAATCAATTGATCGTGAATCCCCCGCTGCGGATCCAGGCCATTTGCGAGTAGTGGAACGCGCTTGTCTGTCCTTGTCCTTGTCCGCATTCCGCGACGGGGGGGGCTGAAACTATAGCGGGCGAGGAACGGCAGGGTACGAACCCTTCCGCCGTCGGGGACGCCTGCCCCCCGGGCGGCTGCAGAGTCTCTGCCCCAGACAGCGCCATCGTGCGGGCATGAACTCTGCGCGGCCTCTCTTGGGGCAGGCGTCCCCGACGGCGGAAAAGTTCATTGTAGATGCCTTGCGTCTGGTGCCGCCGACCCTGAAGGCGACGCCGACGAGGACGACGAGCGGAGCAGGAGCAGGAGGAGGCAGCGGAGGACGCGGTGGAGCAGCAGGAGGATCTGAACTTTGCAGCCTCCTGGGGGGCAGGCGTCCCCGGCGGCGGAAGGGGTTCTGTTATACCAGGAGGGGGGGGAAGACACACAGGCACAGTTCATCGTCGATCCCCAAGACAATTCGGGAAACTATGGGAAGTGGAGGGGAGAGGGAAATCCACATGAGAAGTGTGGGGGAGAGTGGTGGACGGAAATTATGGGAACTTCGGGGGGGGGAGATGGGAGCTATGGGAAGTGGGGGGAATGAGAAAAGCATTGGATTCTTTGGAGTTGTGTGTATCTCTTTGTGTGTGCCCCTGGGCCCATTCGCCTCCGCCCGCTCATGGAGGGTCGGGGGCGAGGGCTGCACGCGGAGAGGTCGGCCCTGGCCAGGCCCGCGCTTTCTGCTCAGGCTCGGTCGCTGTAGACGCCGAGCCCGGCCAGGCCCGTCCCGGGCCCAGGGTGTTTCTGGGCTCCCAGATCCCAATCTTCGGGGGCGGCAAAGAGGGGGGTGATGACTAGGGGGGGGGTGGATATCATGGCGGGTGCCATGATATCTCCCCAGATTTCATGGCGCCTCTTCTTGTTTCAACACGTCCCCGGCCCCACCCTGACCCGCGCACATGCCGCCGGCCATGATTTGCGACCCCCCCTCTTGGACGCCCCCCTTTTGGCCGCCCCCGAAATCTGGTTCGAGCGCCCTCCTGCTTCAGTAGTCGATGTGCTTTCGCGGGGTTATGTTCGTCTCTGGGAGGGCCCGAACTCGATCTACTTGATCCGCCTTCCCCGTCACTTCACGCTCCTGCCCACTTCTTCCGACCGACGTGTAGGGGATCGGCTTCAGAATTGGATTGTCTCCAAATTGTTTTGGCATTTGTGGGTCGAGCGGGACAATTGGGACAATTCAACTCTGTAGTCGATGCCTTGCTCGGAGATCGAATGCGTGTGTCGCGAGGCTAGTGTCGCGGACCAGGGGGCCGTATTCCTGTACGTGGTTGGGCGCGTACGTCCTTCACCGCCCGCCAAACCAACCCAACCCAACCCGAATGCCCCGATTTGCCTTCCATTTCCAGTGGGGGGTTGGGGTCGGGGAACTCGGAACAACAACATATGTGAAACCCGTCCCCCCCCACAAAAACAAAACGAATCCAGGGCCTCTGGGTTGGGTTGGGGTGGCCTGGTAGGTGGTCAGTCCTTTTGTGGGCCCCCTCATTGCAGACGGCCACGGTCCACGGCCAGGGGGGGGGGCCTGCACGGTTTCCCCCGGGGCCGTAGGCGACCCGAGGAGGAGGAGGAGGAGGAGGAGGAGGAGGAGAAGGAGGAGGAAGGAGGAAGGAGGAGGGAGGAGGAGGTGGGGTCGCCTGAGCTCTTCGGACCATCCTGGGGGCCCAGGGCCAGCCCATCGAGAGAGAGAGAGAGAGAGCAGCACGGGCGAGGCGGCAGGGCAGCCCACAGGCAGCAGCAATCGGCAGGGCAGGCCACAGGGAGGCCCTCGGCACCCATCGGCGGCGAGCCCGGGGGGGCCCCGTGGGGTGCTCTCCGGCTCTTCGGGTGAGCCGCCCACCGGGCTCCTCCCGGGGACGTCTTGGCCTTTGTGGGCTGTCTGAGCGCATCTCAGGGAGCTTCGGGGGCTCCATCGGGCCGTCTTGGCGTCACCTTGGGCCGTCTTGGGACTGTATCGGGCTGTCCTGGGGCCTCCCGAGGCGTTCTTGGGAGGCTCTTGGGGCCGTAGTGGGGCGTTCTGAGGGCGCGTTTTGGGCCATCTGGGAGGGGGCGTTTTGTCAAAGAAGAACGCATGTTATGAACATACACTTTTGGTGCTCCCCGCGGATTTCTCGGAGCCGCGCTGGGCCTCCCCCGGCGGCGCCTCTGGCGCCGCCCCTGGCACGCTCCGCGCGCCAGGGAGGGGGATCCAGCGCAGATCCAAGAAGTCCGCGCGGACCGTCGAACGTTTATGTTCATGGCGTTTTTTCTTCTTCTAGTTTTGGGGCTCGCTCTGCTCCTTTGAGGCTCTCCAGGAGCGATTCCACCCGGTGTCGGCTGAGAGAGCCCCTCGGCGAAGCCGAGTTTCGGAGGATCTACCTCGCGAGACTGGCGTGTAAACAAGCTGGCGGGACAGGAATCGGCGGCGAGCCTAATGTAGGGTTAAGTCGGGCCTGTCCCTCTACAGGAGGAGTATTCAAAAATAGTCTAAAATAGTCTGGGGACGATTTTTTGACTTTTGAATCATTTCTTATTTTTCGACCAAAATTCGCCTGTAGGGGGACAGGCCGGACTTACATTCAGGGGGGAGCGAGGAGGGGCGGGGGGCCTTTGAGAAGGCGCCTGGAAGTTCCCCGGCCCCCCGAGGAGCTTTCTAAGAGCCTTCCCCAATGGTGGTCGTTTTCTATTCGTTGTTTTGCCGACTGGCGCGTGCCCTCGCACCCCCCCCCTCCCACCCCCCTCCTGGAGTAGATCTTGGCTGTTTGGGGGGCCTGTTTCGAGCAGGTGGAGTCTCCCCCATAGGGCGCACGGCTCCAAGCAGCCGCACTGAGCAGAGGTCCGGAGCCAGACCCCACCTTCCCCCCCCTTCCGCCCAGTGTCGAAACGCAAAATAAGAAAACGGTCACAAGACTCGGACGATATCACAGAAGGCGAGAGGGTTTCTGAGGAGAACCGCCGCCCCCAGAGGAGGCTTTCCCCTTTGCACTTCCCCCCTCGCTCGCCGCCGAATTGAGCGACGCAGAAAAACGGGTTCGACTGTGCCGACATTCGCGCGTAAGCTCCCCGTGTAGGATCGCGCGTAAGCGTCTTCCTTTCCGATGTAGCGGGCCGCGGTGGCGGCCCGCGTAAGCCACAGCGTAGGGTTGCTATGCCATCTCGCGTGAGACCCGCTTGTTTTCGTCGCTCAGTAGAGAGTTCTCGCGAGCCCATTTTACAAAAGCGGCGCAAAAGCGGCGCATCTTGTTATTGTTCTGTCAGTTTTTTTACATGGCAGTGTCGCGAGGTACATCCTCAAAATTCGGCTTCGCAAGGAGGGTTCTCAGCCGACATCGGTCAGAATCGCTTCTGGATGTCCTCAATATGAGACGGACGAGCCCCAAAACGCCCCCTCCCAGATAGCCCCAAACGCGCCCTCAGAACGCCCCACTACGGCCCCAAGCGCCTCCCAAGAACACCTCAGGAGGCCCCAAGACTGCCCGATAAAGCCCCAAGACGGCCCAAGGTGGCGCCAAGACGGCCCGATTGAGCCCCCGAAGCTCCCTGAGATGCGCTCAGACAGTCCACAAACGTCCCCAAGAGGAGCCTGGTGGGCGGCTCTCAGGGCCGCGCCCGCCCCCTGAGAGCCAGAGATTTGGGAGGGGGGGGGGGAGGGCTGTCTACGCCATCGGCAGATCGACAGAGAGGCAGCCGGGGTTGACGCGTGCAAGACTTGAAACAACGGCTGCGCAAACCTGAGGCAGTCCTGGTCTGGGCGCGCGCCAATGAGCTCCGCGCCAGGGCGCAGGCACTGCGTCCACTATCGAAGACGCCTACGGCGAACCACCGCCGCCCCCTGTTTTCTGGAAGCGGCCGTGCGGCCGAGCGTTGCGTCCAGAGCTCGGCCAAGCCATCTGACTGCGTGTGCCCCCAGCCGTAGTGGGGAACCCGTCGGGGAGCACGTCGGGAGACACGCGAGGATAAGAGGAGAACAAGAGAGGACACAGAAGGAGGAGGAGGAGGAGGAGGAGGAGGAGGAGGAGGAGGAGGAGGAGGCCTCTTGGGGCACTCCTGGGGCCTCCTGGGGCCTCCTGAGTGCAGCTTGGCGGTCTCCTGGGGGCCTCTTTGGGGCCTTCGCGGAAGCTCCCCAGGAGGCTCTTTGACCGACCGAGGCCGTCTCTGGACCGCCCGCTGCCGTCGGAAGCTGCTTGGGGCCGCCGACCCTTTTCCATCCTGGAGCGCATCTCGGGGCTGTCTCGGTGGCCCGCTTGTTCCAACCTATTTTAGCCTTGATCACTAGACAGAATTTCGAGCACCAGCACAACGTACCGAAACTCCAGGGTTTTCACGTGTCGGGCCCTGAGAGACACTCGTCCGACATTGTTTCGACGCTGTCTCGGCACTTCCGACACTTTTCCTGGTTCTCGAGATTATTTCCGGGATGAGGTCATTGAGCACGATGGGAGCAACCTAACGCTTGGGCGGCTTCCAGGATCGTGCTGGCGATCTCGGGGACCATCCTGGGGCGATGGGGCTCGAGATTGGGCCTCGATTGGGCCCCTCCTGGGTCCGAGAGGCCCCCCCCCCAGAGGTCCACCGAGCCCCAAGGCAGCCTTCAGGTAGCCCGAGCAAGCCGCTGAGAGACCGACGGGCGGTGCAAAGCATGAAGCTGTACCAGTCCAGCAATTCAGCACAGCGTACCTTCGACATGTGCGCTGCTGTGCCTTGCTGGCCAGGCGCTTTCTCACAAACCAGGTGGACAAAAGCGGCATTTCCCGTTGTTAGGCTTGGTTTGCTCGGGCATGGACCAGACCAAGGATGCGGGCAACATTCATATACTT